CTGTTCAGAGTCTTGAAAAATCCTCTTTTTTCCCTTTGTTTTTGGAGAAGAGAGAATAGATTGTAGAAGATGGGTACGCAGAGCTGTTTCTCCAGTTTCTTTCTCTTCCCTTATCCATTTTTGAATGGATTGGATAGTTTCGNTTTTGCGAGGAGACGTAAGGGATCGTAAGAAGTTGCTGAGGAAAGTTGCTTGACGCAACCATTCTTGAATCATATCCTCCAGGAATCCGTCNGGCTCAATTATCTCAGTAGACGCATCAGACTGCAGTGAAGACGCCAACTGTATTGGTTCTCGAGTTTCGCGTTTGAGAGCTGGGTCTTTGGTCATTTTGGCAAGCAGTGNATCAATTCGTAATGAAAAAGATGAATAGATTTTGATAATATACCCCATCCTAGAGAGCCGCGGGTTAAATATATACCTGACATGCAGGCAAGGCCCGCTACATTTATCAATACTGTGTTTCTAGAATTATCACACTGTATCACGTCCTTATCTATTTTATATTACTACATAACATTTAAAACACTGCAGTAAGCACAGAACTTCCTCATAGAGGACGATGTTAGATCAAGACTTATTAATAAAAAAATACTCGACAATTACTGTAAGTTTCAAATAGTGAAACATCTATTCATCTCTGAAAAAAATATCTGCTATTGAACTTTTTAGGCGATATCATATAATATTATAGTGATAGCTATAGCTTCAAGAAATAAATACAAGAATATATAATTTTATACCTCTACATAACCCTGCCTGGATAACGACCTTGAGAAGCGCTTGTAGCACTGCAACCTAGGTGATCTGCCTCTTGAACTACGCCGCTGCACCCAGCCCTGCCAGGATAACGACCATGCTCTTGAACTACGCCGCTGCACCCAGCCCTGCCGGGATAACGACCATGCTCGTGAGAAGCGCTCAGTAGCCTAGGTTATCTGCCTCTTGAACTACGCCGCTGCACCCAGCCCTGCCAGGATAACGACCATGCTCTTAAGACAGACCAATAACCAAACCCAAATCAAATCATTTATCCCTATTTATGTAGTTCGTTTGGATTCCAATGATTGGATCCGCTTACTCCTTCGTGGAGCTCTGGTGTTGGAAGACCCTGTCTGACTTTTCGGCCTTTTGGGCCTCTTAGCTGCCCTTTCCTTGCGATCAAGTTTAGTAAAAGAGGAAGTATGAGATGATGAAGAATCTGCGATAGGACTCTCTGGTCTTTGTTGTTTGAATCCATTGACTGCCCTTTCTTTTTGATCATTTTTAGAAAACGAAGCATGAGATAATGAAGGATCTGTACGATGGCTCTCTAGCCTTTGGCGTTTAGATCCATTGGCTGCCCTTTCTTCTTGATCATTTTTAGTATAAGAAGATGAAGTATGAGGTAATGAAGAATCTGCAGCAGGACTCTCTGTCCTTTTGCGTTTGGATCCATTGGCTGCCCTTTCTTCTTGCACATTTTCAGCGAAAGAAGATGAAGCAAGAGGTGATGAAGAATCTGCGGTAGGACTCTGTGTCCTTTGGCGTTTGGATCCCCTTTCATCATCATAATTATCATTCATCTCCTTACTAATAATTCTTAGCTATTATAGCGCACTGGGTATTCAAAAGACAAGGTGGTACAAACCGCTTCCTTTGGAATTGGCTTCTTTGCTCTGACGCAGGAAGAAAACCATTATCTTTCAGCCAATCTTCAGGTCCCATTGGTCCATCGTAATGATGATGAATGAGATACTGTGTTTTATCAATGCCCAGATAGTTGTTAGGGATCCCGTTGGTTTGTTCATCGATAAATTCACCGGCAAGGTCAGATTGGCTATCTTGTACATCGAATTTTCGATACCGCATAAGGTCCATGCAGCTAACATGGGCCATTTTTTCTAACTCTCTTCGGAGCAACGCGTTTTTTTCTTCAAACATCCGTTTATATTCTTCTCTGCTTTTAGCATCTTTGGCAATTGCTATAGCGGTTTTGAAAAATTCGTCTGGTGGTAAGATAGGAATTTCGAGTCGGATTGTGTTAAATTTTATCCAATCAAATCTCGACAGAACTCCTGGATGGGATATATCAGATGTAGAATATCCATCCCAGTACTCGCATCGGTCCTGCCAATCTTTAGTGTGTTCATTCCATATACGGATATGGTCAAGCAATGGCATTTGGAGCCCCCGCTGATTCATTATAACCGTGTGCATCATGGTCGCGGCAGGCAAATGAATGTGTTTGAATAGATGATTGTCCTGGTTTCGTGGCGCGTGTGACGAAGGATTACGAGGGACGAGACCCTGAGTCGTATCACCTGATTGCTTTAGTAAGCCAGTGGGCGGGACGGGGCTAGCGGGGATAGAGAATGGGAAAGAGGGAAGAGAAAAAGAAGGAAGGGAGAAATAATGCCGCATGGTAATAATAACGAATATTTCTATATGATGGCAGAGATTATAAGCATTGACTTGAGTTGGCTAATGAGTAATAAGCCTAGATATAAGATGGATTATATACCTGGCAGATAGATACGATCGGTGCCTAGTTTGCAACCTAAAAGAGGGGTAGTTTTGTCTTGCGTCATATACTCTTTGTAGAAATTAACCTATAGACAAAGATAATGCATGTATAGAGGCTAGAATAATAATTTGCGTTGATTAGAATTACGGTTGGCGCCTAGAATATTTAGTGGTAATTATTGATCTAAAATAGAACTAGACTGCTTGAAAGGTAGAAAATTCCCCATCTACATACGAAGTGCTTCTATCTCCCGCTTCAAATCAACTTCTACTGTTGCCCCCCTATTTCTCAGCTTCATCTTAAAACTCTCAACATCAGCAACACGCTTCCTCCTTTTGGATTCTATCCAGGGATGACCCATCTCTTCACGTATAGCATTGAACATTTTATCCGCGTCACTGCCGAATATCTTTTTGAAATCGGAGCGCGACCAGACACCTGGCTCTTCATCATCTGGTAATCTCCCGACAATCATACAAACATTACCATTGAATGCAATTGACCAGAAATTAAACTCCTGCATCATTGTGCATTTTTTAAGTGCTTTATCTGCGCGCCTAGCCAATTGATGGCCGTTCGAAGTCGTATAACGATCCATCAGGCCCAAGTGGTCCTTCCACGGAATCAAGTATGAATCTCGCAGCTGCGGCAGTTCGACAAAAACTGGAGTCTCTGGATCGGTTACGACAAACCAACTCCTATAGATACCTTCAATACACATTTCATAGTTCATTCGTGGCGATTTGGTTCCGCTCAATTCATCTGCTGGATGAATATCAACTGTGACTGTCCAAGGCCCATCAGCGACTTCATCATACCATGCTTTCCGTATTGGGTCTTTTTCGAAATTATTTCGTTGAGAATCCTCTTCGTCTTCGAAAATAAAACCATTCCCCTCCTCCTCCCACGGAAACTTAAAATCTTCGTCTTCGCCAGAAGAACCTCCATTACCGGAGGAGCCTCCATTACCGGAGGAGCCTCCATTACCGGAGGTGCCTCCATTGCCAGAGGTGCCTCCATTGCCAGAGGTGCCTCCAGTGCCAGACATAGGAACATCTGGATTTTCTGAGTTGGGAATATCTTTCCCAGTGCCAGAGGTGCCTCCAGTGCCAGAGGTGCCTCCAGTGCCAGAGGTGCCTCCAGTGCCAGAGGTGCCTCCAGTGCCAGAGGTGCCTCCAGT